GAATAAAGTTTTATATAATTTTATTGCGTTATTTATACACAAATATAAAAAACATGAAAGAAAGAGAATTCGAATTGATAATGTCGGCGACAGAGATACCTCCTATCGTCGATTATACGCCGAAATTTTTGATAATATTTTACAACAAATGAACTCTCGATTTCAAAACTTTAACGAATTAAAATTTGTTGAATTGTGCAATTTTAATATTAGTAACAACGATTCATCAAAATGTCCATCGGAAGCTTTTAATTCACTAAAATTTAAAAAAGAAAATTTTTTGGATATTCCAGCATTAAAGTCCCAGTTAAGTGTTGTTTATGAAACAACTGGAATTAGTGATAAAAAGACGCCCATCAATGTGTTAAATTTTCTTATAACAACTGGTTTAAATAAGTCCCCCTTCGTGAAGTCGTCATTTGTGTGAATTCGTACTAACCATCCCAGCCACAAGTGCGTTAGTTGAGCGAAGTCCTTTAGCTTTAAAGCTTATTAATTTTGTTTACGAAATTCAACAAGTGAAGACAGGCTCTCTAATTTAGCCCTAATATTCATTGAAAAACAGCTTGTTAAACAGTTATCAGAAAATCCAAAGTTTTACGACGATGTTATAGATAAATTTGCAGTCATTGAGGATAGGCGAATAGATCTTAAGTATAAATAAATGTCAACTGCTGTGTCAACTGTGCAAAAAATGCTGGAAAAAATAGAAAAAAACTTTAGTTAAATGTTTTTTTTACGTTTAAATAAACCAAGGAAGCTTTTCAATGGTAAGTTTCTTTATAGCTTCTAGAACTAAACTAGGAATAAAGTAATATTAACACTTCAAAAATCTCAATCTCAAATATCCGCAGTACTGAGGGAAAAAAAGCAAGATTTTGACAAAATGGTGAATTCGCCGCGAAAAATGTTCGCCTTCCCCTTCCAAAATGTCGCCGCACGCCACTGACCTGAATTATGTTTAAACTTATCTTAATTTAATCACTCATTACTAAAAAACACTTTTCCTTAAAAATGTTAATCTTTTATTATCCTGTTGATTTTAATAAATATGATATTAAATATTTATGTATTAATCAGTGTGTATACACCTACTACCATCTAGAAATTGTTTTAATTAATTGTTGTGTAATTTTAGCATCGTTGCCAAACAAATAACAGAATTATTATTTAATGTGTAATAGTTGCGTCTGTACTTACTGGCCCTATTATAAATTGGGTTGATTTTGCTTAGTTCTCCGCCACAAATAAAGTTAAAATTATAATTTTTAATGATATGCAAATAACTCAAGACCGCAACTATTCAGATTATAAAGGTAAATGTGGTTGAATTAAAACACACTCATTAAAATATATTCATTTTATTGATTTATCTTGAACACAGCAAATCACATTGGTCCTGAAAACAAAACAATTTATAAATTTAGTAACAAGCAATAATTATTGTTCAATCTAACTATCCACAATTCAACTATCGAATAATAGTCTAATTGAATAATATGAAATTTAATATAATTAAATTTCGAACAAGTATTGACAATTTCACTATTGTTTGCTATATTTATACGAGTCGAAAATATAATATTAATTACAGTCGACTCAGTACACTGTAAAACTGGTAAAAAAACTATAAATAATACAAAGTCAAAAATTATTAAAAATCACAAGTCACTGAGTGCAATATCATATCAGTTCAAATCAAATTGTATTACTCTTTTAAAGTCCTGTTTGTATAGCAAGTAGACTAGCTATACCGGGTTAGGCAAAATAAGTGGAACACAATAATTCTAGCCCTATTAGGTATTCCAATGACCTGTCAAAATGCTGACAAGTGGAAACTGATAGTTTAAATATGGCACTCCTGTTGCCTGCTAGCATTGAAAGGGTCAATGATACCTCTGTATAGTTGTATAGATTACTCAACGCAAGTCGTTTAACAAGAGGCCATATTGCCTCGCAAGTGCTCATTTACTTAAATCTATACAACTGTCTATACTAGTGCTTCTCAACCCATGAAGATCTGATTCACAGAGTTCGTTTGTCTTCTTATTTTTCTCTGCAGTTGGACGAATCTACTGATATTCAAAATCAAGCACAATTGCTGTGTTACGTTCGTTACATCTATGACAAATCTGTTTTGAAGATCTGTTGTTCATGTCTGCTATAAAACATACAACTGCTGAAAATGTTTTTAACTGCTTAAATCAGTTTATAATATCAAATAATATGAACTGGTCCAAATGTGTGGGTCTAACTACTGACGGAGCTCGGACCATGTGTGGAAAATTTAAAAGACTTTCAGCACGTGTAAAGGGAATTATGCCCTCGATTCCTTAGTTTCACTGCGTCATTCACAAAGAAGCTCTCGTTTCAAAGAAGATTCCTGATCAAATAAAAGCAACATTAAATGATTCCATTAAAGTGGTTAATTTTATAAAAAGCAGAGCATTAAATTCAAGACTCTTTGAAAAAATATGTACAGAAATGAATAATGATTATAATAAACTCTTACTACACGCAGAAGTTCGTTGATTGTCACGAGGAAAAGTTCTGAGCAGATTGTTTCAACTAAAGGACGAGGTCCGATTATTTCTCACTGAGAAATTTCCATCTCGCAGACCGTTTCAACGATAGTAGTTGGCTAACCAGATTGGCCTATTTAGCAGACATATTCAACCACTTAAACTTACTAAACCTTAATTTACAAGTCGAAGATAAGATTGAAGCAATGATAAAAAAATTGAATTTGTGGTTGCGCCATGTTAGAAAAAAACAAGTTTGATTCTTTTCTCAAATTTAAAGAATTTTTAGAGGAAAATGAAGAGACTCTACTTAATTGCGATAAATCACTGTTTTTGCAGCATTTGGCCGCATTAAAAATCACATTTCGTGAGTGTTTTCCCCTGCCAACAGTCAACAATGTATGGATTAGAAATCTATACTCGATTGCAATTACATCAGAAAATGAAGTTCTGTCAGCACTAGAAGAAGAACAGTTCATAGAACTGTCAACTGATGGTGATTTAAAAAGTAAATTAGATCAGATTGTACTCGAAGATTTTTAGGTATTTGTGAAAGATTCATATCCGGAACTGTCAAACAATGCTTTAAACTTTTTTGGTCCCTTTTTCTACTCCATACTTATGTGAAACTTTATTTTCTGCATTAATGTATATAAAAAATAAATATAGAAATGCAAGCTCAAGGATCACATTAATTTTACAAAAATTATTATAATTAACACTTGTTCTTTAAAAAATAAAACTTCCCTGATATAATCTTCTTTTATTGTTCCAAGCCCATTTTTATTAACAAGTTTTTAATATCTGAACAAAAGGTAATACCGTTTTCTTCGAAAAAATAACGCCGAAATTGTTTATCTCTCACGATAAAAACTTATTTTAGTATCTGAGGAAAGCAAATTTTTTTCTTTCAGTCTTAATGCTAACAATTCTGAAGCTAATTTAGAAAGATTTAAATCTCTTACAAGATAATCTAACTCATTTTGAGAAAATCATTTTGGCTCATGTGATATACCTTCAAAATCAACATCATTTTGTGATGAGCTTGGTCCTTCAATGTCTTGTTCTAAGGAATCAGATATATTTTTAGGCACTGAAGAGTCAGATGAATGCTGCACTGGACGTTGAACACAACTAGTACTTGGGTACTGCCATTTAGCTCGATTTTTAGTGTTTAAAACGTTTACCTTCACGGTACAAAAATAACAGTCTTCGAGATGATTTCGTGGTTCTCGCCAAATAATCGGTGATTCAAATTTAAAGACATTTCTATTACCACTTTTCCATAATCTTAAATATTCCACACATGATTTACAAACACAATTGGGAGCCCAAGACTTCTCATTTTTATCCAAGAGCATCCCAAAATACTCAAAATAAGTATTTTTCAGCAACTCTGATATAACTTTTCTAAAGTCATTAAACACATATTCTCCGAATATATAGCAAAAATGATCTGGATTGTTCAAACAACGTCTCCTTGAACTACTCATGACGCAAGAACTTCACATACTAATCTTAACAAAGTACAATACGCCTATTATCGATTAATATATACGCTTAAATGATAAAAATCAAAAACAAAGTAACTCGAGCTGATCAAAAAATTTTGAGGTTAGATTTGACAAAAACAAGTCATAAGTGAACATTATCAACCACAGAATTCGCAGCAACAGACAAAAAGTTAAATTTTGTAAATTAATGACGCTAGTTCCTGAAATACAAACACATTTATATGGAACCACCCCATATTTATAAAAACAAAATATGAGTTTTATGAGAAAGGTTTTCTGCAAAGATTTTTTTAGTATATCATATAAATTTGGTTGTGTATATATTTATTATTAAATTTTAAGGAAATATCCTAACCTAATATCTGGTATATTATTTTTTAAATGTAGGTCACTGAGGTATACAATTTTAATTAATTCTTTAGAGTTTGTTAATTTTATGATCTATTGTATACGTTGGTTTTTAAAGTAAAATCTAGTGAAAATTCAAATAAGAAGGTAAAAATTTACTTCTTTTCTGCTTTGAACAATTCTGTATATAGATGACCTAGAAGTAATACCTCGTAAGAACAAAACCTGAAAAAAAAAAAGCAAAAACAAGTATGTGCTTTAAAAAAAAGTGAACAAACGATTCAAGGGTCAAGACAGTTGATTAATGATAATAATTGATATATCTTTATAATAATACTATAACGTTTTTTCTTTCTATCAACAAATTTTGGCAGATGTACTTACGTGTTATTGCTACTAGATTATCGATATAAACCTTTGTCATAAAAACTGTGCTATCATGCATTTTTAAATAAACTATAACAAGTATTTTTTGACAAGTGTTTCTAAAAAAAAAAATATTTGTAGGCTAAATTTAGACCAATAACCGAGAGTTGCATTAATTTTGTGACAGATTAACATTCTACTTAAAGGCAACCGTCAAAATGTACCGTTCAATAGATTGATGTTAGAGTCCCTAATTTTAGCCAATCGCGTACCTAATTTTTTCGGGATTGTGGAGCAGAGTCATTACTTTAGGATATTTCGCATAATAACGGACTATACCCTTAATATTTTTTATGATATCTAACTATTGGTGATGTGACACAATCACAAGTTTGTAGAATTTGAAAACAATTTTTTTGAGAGTAACAGTTATTAATAGAACACATTTTTGTGTATGAACGTCATATTTCGTGATGTTACATAACAGTAGGTATTTGGGAGAAAAAAAATTACAAAATAATATAAATAAATATAAAAAAAATCTGAAACAAAAACTTGTATATCCACTAAATTTTATGTTATAAATACATCAAATATTTTTGAGATAAAAATACCGCATTGAGAGTCAAAATAAACTAGTGCTATAATTTTCTAATATCCTAAGGTATTAGAAAAGCTGCACAAAGAATTAGAATAGCAATATTACCAAGGCGTAAGTGCGTTGGTATTTTTCACAAAATTAATTAAAATAATCGTTCTGTATAAAATTTAAATGATTTAAGGAAAGTAAAAGAGAATAAAAACTAAAATACTTACGAGGAGTTGGAATAACATAAGCTGAAAAGAAAAAACAATGAATTAAAAGAAGTTTAAAATGAATGCATTAAAAAAAAATGCAATAGTTGTATTTGGTGATTTTTGGTTTAACAAAAAAATTAAAAATTATAATAAAGCGTTAATCATAAAAATAAAATTTCAGTTGAGCGGCACACGAAATATAGAAAAAAGTATTTAATATTATTAATTAATATCACTGTGCGGGGTGTTTTAGGGGGTATCCTCCTATTTGCGTACGTCCCATTTGCGTACACGGTTAATTTTGTCCCACTTGCGTACACCGTGAGGTCATGCCTTGTGACAGGTAAAAATATTATGATGCATAGTCCTACTTGCGTACACACATAAAATAGGGCCTATTATATCACATTTTAAAAATGTTATAATTTTCTTTTTTAATGGCCACAAAATATTGCAAAATAAAATTTGATTTAATGTATGTTAAGTTGATACCTATTTACGAACTAAGGACTAACAAAATTACTATTATTTTTGATCGTGGAATTAACTTTGTCTGCAATATTCCAATGTTGTCTTCAGTAAAGACCAGTTTATATCGACACAGACAAAAGGCAAACGGACTGTCGAAAGAGCCAAAATGTGTATCGGATGTCGAAATATCTGAAAGGTCTCTTCTTTTGAACGATGGATCTTTCTTCCTGGTCGCTGATGATGGTTACGAAAACAGAATTTTAATATTTTCGTCATCAATTGGAAAGGAGATTATATTAAACCAGAATACTTTTTTATGGACGGCACTTTTAAGTGTTGCAGTAAACAGTTTACTCAACTTTATACAATACATGTGGACATTGGAAGCAATACAGACGAACGAAACGTACTTCCTGTAGTTTATGCACTACTCAAGAACAAAACTCGCTCTATATATGAGAGCTTATTTACGATAATAAAAGGAGCCACAAACTGGAAACCAACATTAGTGACTGTAGAAAGCAGTAATTATAGCTATAAGGAATGTGTATCCTAACGTTGCAATAAATAGCTGTCATTTCCACTACAATCAATGTATATGGCGAAAAGTACAACAGTTGGGCCTAGTTGTAAAATACCGGCACGATGATGAACTGCGACTACATATTCGTATGTGTGCTGCTTTGGCGTATATTCCACTTGAAGATTTGGATATCAGTTGGCTAACCATTCAAGAAAATTCACTCGTTATCGAAAAACTTCAAAAGTTCTACGATTATTTCGTGGATCAGTGGCTACCCAACTAACAAAGTAGCTTTATAATTTTTAGTTTATAAGACTATTATATTTTATTGATATTATATTGCTGTGTCTGGAATGCTAATTTATTGTATTACAGTTGCAGAAATCACCATTTTGTTCTCTGAAACTAAATTGTTATATAAATTAGTTTTTACAATATTCTTACAGCATAATTATAATATAGTTATCACGATAACTATAAAATTGTTACGTAAACATTTATACAACTGTTCTATACAATATTTCAGCTTATAAAATTAAATTGCTTTATAGTTATTCTATATTATTGTTCTGGATTACCTTTAGAACTTTTTGGTTATACAAATATAACTGTTTCTTAACCTCATAATAACGCTTTAAAAAATAGTTATATAAATATTAGTGTGAGATAATTCCGCATCAATAGCAATTTGCTTCCGATGAAAACTCTAAAATAACTGTAATATATTGTCGAAATACACTATTACAAATCAGAAAACTGTATAGCAATTATTTTAGTTAAGAATAGTATTATCACTTTAAAAATATTTATAAAAAAAAATAAAGCAACTACATTTGGTAGTACCTACGCCAGATTATTTTGTATTTTATGTTCGTTCAACTACTTACCATACCAATTGTATGTGAGTGTATGGTCTGAAAATGTCAGATTTAAATAGTAAAGAAATATAAAAAATAAGTGGTACCTGCTTTTCAGAGAACAGAACAAAATATTAGTAAAACATTTTGCTGGTTTGTCTAGACACTCAAAAAAAACTATCATTCAGCCAGATAATAATTAGGTATGTTCTGAATAATCATGCCCCAATACTAAAAGAAAGCCATATTTTTGGCGATGTCCATGTTAAACTTGCTTATTCTCGTAATATTAAAAATTATGCATGCTCTATAAAGCTGTAGAAACAAATCTAATCATTTCAATTCTCAAATACTTAAATCGGAAATGATTTAGTAAGGTTATGTTATATTTTGTCATATAGTGCAGCAATATGAAACTATTATACAACAAACCATGATGAACTTGTTTTGTAGAAATGAGTAATACAACTTAATTATTGTATTACAGCTGTTTTTACTACAATAATATTTTATAATTATGATTCAGTCTTAAAATAACTTTCTAATACCTCTGAATAGCCGCCATATTTAACAAAAACCTAAGACAGTTTTAAAGCTAAATCTACTGTCGGTTTTACTAGTATTTAAGACAAAACCAATGTTAATTAAAGATTTTAATCATTAGTAATATTAGCATAATCTTATTACTAAAAAAAAATCAAATTGCATTAATTTAACTTTTGTTTCACACTGAAAAAGTATTAGAAATATGAATCAAACTCGAGGCGCTTAAAAATTTAGTATTGTATGTGCTATATAATTAACAGTAATTCTTGCTGCGTATCCAAAAACGCTTTATTGTAGGTCATACATTATGTCTAAACCGCGTCATAGATATCTCTTAAGTAGATACTGCCATTTTACTAATATCGCCTTGAATTTACTTTCATGACAAATATAGAATTAATTTGTTTTCACCAGATACATTTAAAAAACTAAAATGTTACTGATTTTGATATGCAACCTAACCTCAAAATTTAAAATTTATAAAACAGTTATAAAAGTTTAAAAAAACATTTGTTTAAAGTCTGTGTAAATGTGTAGTAACTGTTCGGTAACTGCATTCAACAAATCTTATAGAATTTACAAAAGAACCAAATAGTTCTGTAATACTGCGCCCATTTTGTGTTTATTACTGTTGAAAGAATGTTCCGGAAATGTTCTTAGCTAATATTCTATTTTATAAATTTGGTTCTGTAAACATTTTTTCAGCTTTTATAAAATATCAAATTGTTACTTGGGTAGAAAATAGTAAATTACGCCAGATATGTGGAACTGCAGCAACAAGCTCCATCGTACAAATAACGTCGTGGATAAATAGAACAAGTTACACCATCTGGTCAAAAGAATCCATCCGCCTGTCTTACAGTTGATTAAACACTTAAAAAAGAAACAGAAAATAGTGATTTTCTTTATAAACGAAAATAATTGAATTTGGAGGGAAAAAGAAGAAAAACAAAATACGTCAAGTTGGACATTAGAATTAATAAAATAATAGCGGCATATACAGAAGCAAAAGACGTCGCTAAGTTAGAGTAACCGACTGTAGGGCTCTGCATTTTGTAAATATTTGGTAAATACCATTCTTTTTTAAATTCTTAAAAAACAATAAAAAATAAACTAAAATAAATACAAAAAAAACTTTTAAACACGCCAGCAAATCGCTTCCAGTCCTAAGCCTGGAAATGGTGTGAAGGAAAGTTTTAAAAATAAAATTGAGTATAACCATTGTATTTAGATCAACAAATACAATGTTATAACTGTATATGTACGCAAGTAGGACTAATATCGTAATACTTTTACCTGACTCAAGAGATAATCTAACCCGTGTACGCAAATGTGACAAAATTGACCGTGTACGCAAATGGGACGTACGCAAATAGCACTATATCGTTTTAGGGTGCTTCATTTCTAATGTGTTAGGAATGCAATCGTGCTAGGCACAGTTTGTTTTAGCTTTAAACAATTGAAGAGTAATATAACCGATCCTAATTTTCAAAATATATTTTTTGATTACTATTAATTACCAATTGAAAATATAAGCAGAACACCTTAATTTGCAAGTTTAATTTAATTTACTGAAAATTAAAACCAATTTCACGTTCATTGAAATCTGAGTTTACTCCATTATCATAGCCTTAATTATCGCTGGAATTATAGTCAAAGGCTGGAATATAAATAAATTTTGTAGCTATATAAAATTTTATGAAATCTTTTTGAGAACCATGTTATCAGTTGCGAAACAAAAGCAAATAAAAATAAAACTTTTTTGGTTTTAAATTCAAAGAATCGAAGAAATACATGTTGGCTTTATAAAAATAGAGTTTTTTAACGAGCAATACCCTATTAATATTCCTGTTTCGGTTTCTATTTGCTATTCTTATTCTGCAGCGGGGTTGTAGTTTGGTCATTGCTTTGTAGCTTAGATTGCTTGCTTGTCTACTTATAGGTAGCGCTTTCCGCATGTCAATGGAGAAATGTAATCATCGAGTATCTGCCTTCTCCTAGCACCGCTGCTCCATAAACAACAATATTAACTAATTGGCCGATGGGAAAGTGGTTACGAACTATCCAGCCTTATCTGGTCATGCGGGGCTCTGATCAAACGAACATTTATTTCCCTAGCTACTCGTGGAACTAATTTGAACTAAAACAACTCAAAAATAAATGAGGACAGGGAATTCCCAGAAGAAGAAACCCTTCCAAAACAACAAACAGAGGCAATGGAAACCCAAGTGATTCTAGGAAAATTAACTTCGTCTCCATCAACCTCTGTGCACCGTCCTAAGGGAAGTGATGACCTCAGAATATTCTAGGCGGAAAAACCTTCGGAAACATGTCGCAGCTCCACAAACCCCAAGGATAAAGTTGCTTCAAAACTCAACATGACTCACCTGAAGCTGCATGAGCAACTCTTAGGTGCCCAAAAGAGGAAATTTTGAAGGCCAGGGCAAAAGGACGACCAATCAGACTCAGGGCTGAGAGAATGATAGAGAAGAAAGGAGCTAACCGAACTCCAAGTCAAACTCCTCAACTCAAACGGGGCCGCCTCCCAAGTGAATGTTCATCATGAACGGAATCCACTGTAAGAGGCCAACCCAAGAAAACAGGGGAAGGGGAACGAACCCCTTCTGCATCGCAAGCAGTAGAAGGTGACTTATTATACAAAGAGGCTTTAGCGCCAATGAAACTGGCTGTAGTGACTTAAGAATTTCCAAAGGCAAACTTACTGAGGAACAAGCAGGTAAGACTCAGGAAGAACTGATGGAAGAGATTTTAAAGAGCAAGGACGGAACATAATCACAGAGAAGAAATACTTCCATAAAGAATCTATCTTCTTAATATGTGCAAATGTTATAACTAAGACCTGGCACTCCGAAATAATCTCCAACCATGACAGGGAGTACAACTTAAGGGGTACCTTCAAGCAAGATTGTCTGAACCAAAAAATTTGTGGCTTAAATACCTAAACCCATGCAGAACATGGAAACAACAAAAGTACCCACATTCCTAAAAACCTAAAATCAAAAGTTCCAGAAGGAACAGTTGCAACTTATCCATAAACAAGTGGAAGACAACGGTCAAACCATTGTTCTATTGACAGACGACGACGACTCTCTGAAGTCTTTAGAAAACCTGCAATTAAAACCCTAAATGAGCCTTTCTTCGGCAATCTTAAGAGTGCAAAGGGAGAGAAAGGAAAAGCATTCAGATGCTCAGAATAGTGCAAACTAATCTGAGGTACTGTAAGGTCGCCTCCGCAACCCTTGGACGTACCATTATCAGGAAAGACATAGACGTAGCCCTAATACAAGCACCCTGGATCTACAAACGGCATGTAATGGGGCTCGGGCAAAAGAAGTTAATATACAACATCCAATGTGGAAATACTAGGGCATGTACATACGTAATGGTCTAGACATCCCCAACTCACAAAATTTCTGTTTCAGAGACCGAGTAGGATGGAAAAAACAGCAAGCAATACAAAACCACTCATTTTAATATCTGCATACCTTCTTTATGACGCCTAGCCCTCGATCAACGGATGAGCTGGCTCAGGGATCTAGTAAATACCTGTCAGGCCAAAAACAAAAGGGTCTTTACTTGAATTCATTCTCATCATTAACCTGTAAATATTGAATTGTTAAAATAAACCTACTTTTGTAACTAGTAGATGAAGCAAGGTTATTGATATTACCCTTGGATCTGGCTTCTTTTTAAATTACATTGGCAAGTGGTATGTATCTAGGGAGCCTTCGCTCTTAGATCATCGGTACATTCTCATGAAAATCGACCAAGTCAATAAACCAGAAGATGTAAACAGAGACCCACATAAAACCGATTGTTTTGGATACGGGGTAGAGCTGAAGGCAGTGTTAAAAACCGTTAAAATAACTATTAATGCTAAAAATGATGTAGATAAAGTTGCAGAACAACTACGAGACGCAATCATAACATCATATCACAACAACTGTTTATTAAATAATAGAAAAACTTCTATGGAGGTGAGCTGGTGGAACACCAAACTTGCCAAACTCAGAAATAAAACACAAAAACTTTTAAATGAGGCTAAAAAGGCGAATAGGTGGAGGAAATACACCGAAAAACTTACAGAGTGTAACGAAACTCTTAGAAAATCTAAACGGGATTCATCGAGAATATTCCGTTAGGAAATTGAAAATATAACTGAAGGATGCAGACTCCACTGCATTCTAGCAAAAGATCCAATAAACCCTGCGGTGAATTTGAAAAACCAAACAGAGTAATACACTTAAACTGGAATGGAAACATTAGAACTACTTTTAAAACTCATTTTCCTGATTGCACAACAAACTCAAATGCAGCAAACCAAACCCATACGAAGTGGTACTTAAAAAAAAATTGCCAAGAGTGGGAAATTGTAAAACAGGTAGTCACAACAGAGAAAGTAACATGGGCAATATGCACCTTCAATCAACACAAATCACCGGAACCAGATAGGATATAGCCTGTGCTTCTGCAATAGGTAACAGAAACACTGGCCCTGCAAATATGTAGGCTCCTTAGGGCAAGTTTGATGCATAAACATGTACCAAATACCTGGAACTAAAGTAGATTTCTATACATAAACCAGGGCGTCCAACATATGCCATGGCAAAGGCATACAGACCAATAACTCATTTTGTCATTTCTATTGAAAGGATTGGATAAAATGTTTGATCAGCATGTCCGGCAAACCACTCTAAAAGAGAGGTGATTTCATTCAAACTAACATGTCTAACAATTAGGAAACTCTTGTCAGTCTGCTCTGCACAGAAAGGACTCAGTAGCCAAGAAATAGTCCTAGGAGCATTTCTTGATATAAAAGGAACTTTTAGGACTAAACATCAAATTTGCTATAGAGAGTGTGGGTTTCGGTGCGCCATCTTTGGTTCACTTAAATTCATTTATTTGAGCCGAAGATGGTACATCAGTTTCTGAAGTTTTAGTTAATCTTGATATTAAAAAATTAAATACAAAAATCGCAAAAATTTCAATTAATTAATTGATCAAATTTCAAACATTAAAAACATACTTTTTCTTTTTAAATCACTTTCAGAATTTATATCTCAATCGAGGCTTTGACCGTGCCATTCTTGATTCTTTCCTAGAATCAACGACGATACAACTGAATCTGTTCAAAGCTCGTCGGTGGTTAAGAAAAATAATAAATAAAAACAAATTTCAATATTACTATCACTACTTATATCAATGTAAATTAAAATTATATTCGATTTAAACCTTTAATTAAACTAAATAACCTTTTTTAATTAATTTACACATTTTAAATTAATTTATTAAAACCTCCATAAAGTTTAAGTGTGGAGTGACCTAACCTACAGTGACAATAGATTACTTTCTCCACACAAGCCTAGCTTCTGGGAAAGGTCTATCAAGATCAGTGTTGGTAGCTTGAATTTTTTGTAATGTGTAATTTTCTTTGTAATTGTATTGTTTTATTTTTTTTATTGTAACTTCATAATTGATAAATTCAAGTCATTTTTTATATATACCCAGATTGACTGAAAAAAGACATAACTACTTTAATTTCAAATTTTAGAGAAAATGTTATTCTTTATAAAAATAGTTTCAAAAATATTAATAATCAAAACAGAAATTGAATAACATTTTTTCGAAAAGGTAGAAATAAAAAAATTGTTTCCTCTCTTTTTCAGTCCATCCTGTTTTAAATAGTATTTAACACTTTAAGTAAAAATGAACAAAAATCGGCCATCATCGTTGGCAACATCTGCGAAACTAGAGTATTTTTCTCATAACCTATCTTTGCACAAATTTAAAGCTCTCAATATTCTCGAGGCACATAATATCGCGAAGTATACTCAGTGGAGCTTCTATAAAGAAAAATTTTGTATTAGAAAATCCTTTAAACGTGTTTTCTTTCGCAAGAGGTCCGGTATGCTATTACTCGTAAAAAGAAAGTGAAAGGAATATATGCCTAGTATATGTACATATTATGTTACTTTGCGGGTGTAATACTCAAACACTTACAACAATCTACGTTATAAGTACGATCACAAGTTTTGATAGCATTGTTCCACACTAAATCATCTTTACATTGCATGATCACGGGTTTCCCATTAGAACATTCGTAGAATTTGGAGCAATCATATGGATATGGGTAGTAAGTATTGTCGTAGGTACATTCCGGTGGCGTTACTGGTTCTGGAGGGGGTGGAGTTGTAGATGGTGTAGTCGGTCGTGGAGTTGTAGATCGGGTAGTCGTTGGCCGAGTAGTAGTTAGCGGAGTCGTTGATGAAGCTGTAAATACAGATAGTAAGATAAAAGATACAAAAACAAGATAGTAACAGTTTCATTTAGTTATTTCTGAGAAAATAATGTATTTTTTTATATGATCCATATTCACTTTTAAAAGACCTACCTACTGTTAAAAATCAGTTTTTTCAGTAGTCACTTTAAACTTAAATAACCTAATTTACAAAACATCTTTAATTTTTTCACACTCAAATGTGCACAATCTATAGGCTAAATAATTAGGCGATAGCAGTTTACTAAACGAATATAACTTCATATGCATTTTAATAAGAACGTGCAATCTACCACTCAGCTCATATTTATTACCTGACTAAGTATTATTTTTTAAATTTTAAACAAGTTTAAACAGTTTTTATGAGGCTAAGTGTCGCTTAACACGTAGGCCAATCAAGTGTATAATTGTGTATAGGCAGAATGAATAGGCAAATATCAAAATAATAGAGAAGGAAGTAATTGGAAAGAGAATGTGGTGCACTAGACCATTGCTAGTCGGAAGATCTATACTAGGTCAGTCATATTTTATCTTAAGAGAAATGGAAACAGAAGACTCAGAATAATAAATATTTTGTATGTGAAAGACGCAATACTTGTTAGAAACACTTCTTAGCTTTGTTTTTTCTGTTCACTTGACTATATTTTATAAAAGAATCCATCTCATGAAACCAAGTGAAAAATAGTTTATAAATGGTTCTAGTCCCAGTTGCAGAACGTCTAGATTTTTCAACTTTGTAAACTTTAGGTAGCAAAGAAGCGTTTATGATGAGGGTAACCTGTAAAAAGTTAGAATAGCTACAAATTGGTACGTTGCAAGTTGGCCAGAACTCCCATAAAATGTTGAAAAATTTAAAGACAATAAACTACTGAAATAGCAATTATTTTTATAGATCATAACTAAGTAGACTCTAGAGCATTCTAAAAGAATACAATCACTATCACCGATTGCTGGTACACTGCAAACTTTGACATACTTTTTGTTGAGTTTGTGTCTTCAGTTCTTTTTCTAAAATTTTTGCAAACTATTTAAAATAGCGCTTAATTTTGAAAGTTTTAGGATAGGTGGACATTTATGCAGGAAAATAAAACATATGGCAAGAAATTTTAGTATTCAGTTAAAGAAAAGGTGATCTAAACAAAAACTATGAAACTAATCGTTTGTGGCTGGAAAATTACGTTGTTTTACCATGTACTTTGCATGAAAGTAAAAGGCCCAAAGAGTACTTTAAATATTTAGGTTCCTTCGTAAAATATAAAAGAACCAAACAATTAAGACAGTTTGATACTAAATGAACTTTTATTTGCCTCTAAAATTGGTTTAAGATCGACTAAAAAATGACAAAATATCGATGAAAAAACACCCAATGCAACCACAACTGGTATTTATAAAACAATTCTAAACTGGCAAGTGTCTGATGACATTTCAATATCAGACCACCGTTGGTTAACATTCAAAATAAACTTGATGTTACCAATCTCCACGTTATTTCGAAACTAGAGAAAGACCGACATTGCAACCTATACTCACCTTCTCCAAGAGGCTTTGAGAGAGGTGGAGACAATAACAATGCTTTGGAAAGGTACTTGAACACTATCCAAAGCACAATAAACTATGCTTATAAGAAATCCTGACCCCTCAGGCTGGTCCAACACGATTAAACGACTACCGCATGGTGGTGTCACGAGTTGGATCATCTCAGAAATATGGCCAGAAAATCGTTTAATATGGCAAGAACCACAAAACTTATAGAGGACTGAGATACTTACAGATCTCACCTCAGAGAATACAAAAACAGAAAAATGCATACTGCGAAAAAATCGAATATTTATCGTAAGCAGTGAGGCTTCAAAAAGCTCTCTCAAGAGATTCACACCACAGTATTGGTGCGCTCATCAAAAAGGATGACATGAAAATTGCAAACCTTGAAGATAGCACCAAAGTTCTTCTATCAACACAATTCCCTGACTAGGTGATCACATATATTCCTCTGGCAGACTGGGCAGAGGAAGAATACAACCCATCTGTCTACGATTGGCAAACTGTCAGACACATTGTAGACGATAACTAAATTAGATGAACAATATCTAGGTTATCTCCATTTAAATCGCCAGAACCTTACGGTATTTTTCGGTAGATATTCAGAACCTCGTTGGCTCTGAGGTATATCTCTCAAAAATGGAGAGAGGTAAAGGTAGTCTTTATACCCAAACCTCGAAGGATGCATTACACTGTCCCAAAAATATACCGATCTATGAGCCTGACATTGTTTTCCATGAACACATTGAAATGGCTCTGCGAGAGCTACATAAGGGATGTGGTGATTACAACATCACTACACCTAAATCGTACACCGCAGCTGGATCTACTGATTCAGCCCTTCACATAGTTTTAAAGAAGATGGTCTAAAGCTTACTGAATTAAACAAAAATTTTATGAAACTAATCGTTTGTGGCTGGAAAATTACATCATTTTACTATGTGCTTTACAAAAAGAAACTTCACAAAATTAGGTTATTCTACAAAATATAAAAGAACCAAAAAATTAAGAACGTTTAATAATAATGAGCTTTTATTTCACTTTAAAATGGGCTTAGGATCGGCTGAAGAAAATGTCAAAATATCGATAAAGAAACCCCCAATGCAACTAAATTAAATCATCTTAGCAGTAAGAGGGCTTTGACAATGGTAGTAAATATTGTCCAAAAGATAGTACCAGCATATTCAAGTCCGCATTTAAAGACAACACGGATATTTATCTACCTTACAATAACACAAATGAAGCAAAATATCGATATTTTCCAAAAAATATTTTATTCTTAGAGCACTCAGTTACAGTTGACTTACAGTTACTATTACACACTACATGTTGGCTGCTATCTACTTTAAAAATGAAAAATTTTAAGATCAAAACCTCAAGACTTGTATTAATTTCTAAATGGGGAATGGATAAAAGTTCTGATCAAGCACAATACAAGCAATATTTTGCGGATGATAGCTATTACTGGTAAACTGTATAGGTCCACTTCAGCTTTATATGAAAAATAACACAGAACTTAAAGGGTATATATCTTGTATACCACGTACAGAATGCTTATGAGCATTCATAAAATTCTTAAGCATGGCCTGCAATTAATTATAAATGCTTCACTTGTTAACATTGGCCAGCTCTCTAAAAAAAGCGCAATAGGAAAGCAATAAGGGATATCGAAAGTACAGGAATTTTTTTCTCCAGAAGCCCTAAGCCTTTTAGAGACACATTTTAGATTCTTCGTCTACAAATGATTTTGATTAGTTTCTTTTCTTAAGGCTTCAGAAAGTTAAGTAAGATTTTGTAATTAATTTTCATGAATGTAGCAAAATTTGCCATATTGTTCATTTGACCAAACATTTATTATTGCATAGTACCTATTAAAAAGGATTTAAAGTGAATATTGGTTAATGAACTATTAGAATAAACTCTTTTTTATACGTTCATGCAAAAAACAAAACTTTATTGAACTATATTTAGTGAAAAAACTGATTTTTTATTACACTAGTGCAATAAAAAATTTATTGCACTCATCTGTCATTTTATTACATCGTTTTATGATCATGACAAACATAAATATTCAAATCAACGCCAAATATTTAGTCCATTTTCATTTTCGGTGTTACGTTTTAAAAACAATTGCATATTTTATATTATTTTCAATCATTTAATAAATAAATTAAAAAAATATATATTTTATTAAAAATGTCATTACAAATTATGAACACAAACGTAATGCCTCAAACAAAGGTACACGATCACAGCTACTATGATTTGGATAATACAACTGCAGTTCTATAAAACATTTTTTTGTTTTTGCATGAACGTAGAAAAAATATTGTATGCAACTCGTGCAAAAAGTGTTTATTGCACTCGACGTGTTGCTTGCAATAAACACTTACTTTTTGCACTTGTTGCATAAATAACTATAAAGGCAAATGCTGATCCTTTCTTTTATTTTAGTGTTGTAAGTTATTATGATTGTGAGCTGTGGTTTACCCAAAATACCTAATAAAAATATTTTTCTACACCCGTATTATAATAATGCACTTATATGCCCAAAATCCGTTTCATAATGATACCCATTATGATACAGATTTTTCATTATGATACAGATTTTTAATCAATAGAAACCTACAATTTTTCAATCAAGCATGATGTTTGACGTTTGTCCTAAATTCCTATGTAATTGTTTTAGTTGTCAAAACGTATTAAATTTTCGTAGATAGCTAAACTTCGATAATTATAATATTAAAATGTCTGATATCAGCGATATAGAACACTCCTCCACACATATAGGAGAAAGGAGAAAATGCAGTACAAAATATTTTGCCCCAAAAATCTGTGGTAATACCAGTACCCAAGGTAATACCATTAATTACAATTTTGTAGAATTTTTTATAGAAATACGAGTAATTACTGTTATTGTGTTCAATACCAATATAAATAGAATATTTATAGGTCTTGATTATTTATCGGGTGTAGAAAAAATAGCGTATGCAACTCTCATGTAATGGTTATTAAAACACTCGCATAAACCATACGAAACTCGCCTTTGGCTCGTTTCGTATCCCGGTTAATGCTCGTGTATTAATAACCATCATTACATGATCGTTGCATAATATACTATTTATTCCTCGCTTAAATTGACAAGTTAGACGGTACGCACGAAAATTATTATTAAAAATAGCTTGCTTAGGCTTAAATGAAAGTATTGAAGAGAAAATATAAATTGTAATAATATTTTAAGCTGATTCTGGCTCAATTCGATGTCTTGATAATGGCCTTTCTATTAACTCCCAAACTACTGACTTTATAAAGGTGTTTTTTTTTTAGAAAACTGTGCAAACGGCTAGTCTGATATAAAAAACTTATACTCAATATTTATCTATAGGATATTTGTGATAAAAAATACTTCGCAAGGATAATACTGTAGTATTTATATTTTACCCTCTAGAGCGCCCTAAAGAGATACATGTCTTGTCGTTGAAGGTCACGCTTCCATGTTTTACACTACTTTTATTTCAGGACGCTCAAGAGGATGATCTATAAATACTAGGATAGTAATCAATGTATGCAATTCAAAAAAGGCCCCTCTTCACTATCAAACACCTTGTAAATATCAAGAAGTAGCACTGCTGTCACTTCACCGTCCAGTTTGGAAGTTTCAATTTTTAAGCCAAACTGGTGACTGGGAATAAGTGTACCTCTTTTAGATTTGATCATGTCTATGATTATTTTTGAAAGTTCTTTTTATGATTGGTACCTAATAAAATTATGTCTGTAAATAAAGGGGTTAATGTGATCTGTCTATTTTCTGGTGTTATTATTTTAACTGTGTAATTATGGATTTCTAGATCTAGATTTCTTAAGACGTTTTTGTAATACTATTATATCCTGGTGTCTTTTTGTATTTATTAAATTGCTAAAAATGTTTATTTTGTTTATTGTGTTCCTAAATGTTAAAAACATTTAAATTGTTAGAGTCTGACATATAAATCTGAATATCGGACTCATGTATAGATAAATTAGATCGATTTTTCTGGTGGGAACTGTAGAAAATAGCTGGTTTGTTTTAAAATTTAAATTCACCCATTACCACTAATACTTTTATTGACGAAGTTTCCTTCACAAGTTTTTTTGTTGATTTTATAAATGTTTTCAAGAAAAACATTACCAACCATTCAATTTTTTAACGATTTGTGTAAACATAACCTCAATTATTTAAATTTTACGAATCATAGTAACGATTTAGTAACAATGCTATCGCCCAACTTTATTCATTCTCTAAATTGATGTTGATGTGTCAATCTTCAAAGAATTATACGTAGGTAACTATTTATAAATGCTTTGTGAATATCGGTGTAAAAGAAATAGCTTATTATATTTACTTGTGGTACTAGTGGTACTTGCTGGATATGGGATAACATGTGCTAAAATAAAAAAAAAATAAACGATTAAAAAAGTGTCAATTATAACGAATAAAAACTTTTTCTGCAGTATGACTCGCAAATTGTTAAATATTTTATTAACGACTTAGAAGTTGTTTGAAATTGGTGAGCCTTGATTAATAATGTAGAGGTATGAGGAAAATTGTGGAAGTACACGTATATAAAGGAGAAACCACACAATGTGGAAAGCAACAAAGAAAAACTACTAGACTAATTATGTTTACAAAAATCGAATTGCAAAAGAGGACAAAAGGGGACAAAAGAGGACAAAAGAAGACAAAAGAGGACAAAAGAGAACAAAAGAGGACAAAAGAGGACAAAAGAGGACAAAAGTGGACAAAAGAGGACAAAAGAGGACAAAAGAGGACAAAAGAGGACAAAAGAGGACAAAAGAGGACAAAAGAGGACAAAAGAGGACAAAAGAGGACAAAATAGGACAAAAGAGGACAAAACAGGACAAAAGAGGACAAAAGAGGACAAAAGAGGACAAAAGAGGACAAAAGAGAACAAAAGAGGACAAAAGAGGACAAAAGAGGACAAAAGAGGACAAAAGAGGACAAAAGAGGACAAAAGAGGACAAAAGAGGACAAAAGAGGACAAAAGAGGACAAAAGAGGACAAAAGAGGACAAAAGAGGACAAAAGAGGACAAAAGAGGACAAAAGAGGACAAAAGAGGACAAAAGAGGACAAAAGAGGACAAAAGATGACAAAAGAGGACAAAAGAAAACACAAGAGGACAAAAGACGACAAAAGAGGACAAAAGAGGACAAAAGAGGACATAAGAGGACAAAAGGGGACAAAAGAGGACAAAAGAGGACAAAAGGGGACAAAAGAGGACAAAAGAGGACAAAAGAGGACAAAAGAGGACAAAAGAGGACAAAAGAGGACAAAAGAGGACAAAAAAGGACAAAAGAAGACAAAAGAGGACAAAAGAGGACAAAAGAGGACAAAAGAGGACAAAAGAGGACAAAAGAGGACTAAAGAGGACAAAACAGGACAAAAAAGGACAAAAGAGGACAAAAAAGGACAAAAGACGACAAAAGAGGACAAAAGAGGACAAAAGAGGACAAAAGAGGACAAAAGAGGACAAAAGAGGACAAAAGAGGACAAAAGAGGACAAAAGAGGACAAAAGAGGACAAAAGAGGACAAAAGAGGACAAAAGAGGACAAAAGAGGACAAAAGAGGACAAAAGAGGACAAAAGAGAACAAAAGAGGACAAAAGAGGACAAAAGAGTACAAAAGAGTACAAAAGAGGACAAAAGAGGACAAAAGAGGACAAAAGAGGACAAAAGAAGACAAAAGATGAGAAAATAGGACAAAAGAGGACAAAATAGAATAAAATAGGACAAAAAAGACAAAATAGGATAAAAGAGGACAAAATATGACAAAATAGGACCAAATAGGACAAAATATGACAAAATAGGACATAATAGGACAAAATAGGACAAAATATGACAAAATAGGACAAAATAGGACAAAATATGACAAATGATGACAAAATAGGACAAAATATGACAAAATATGACAAAATAGGACAAAATATGACAAAATAGGACAAAATAGAACAAAATATGATAAAATATGACAAAATATGACAAAATATGACAAAATATGACAAAATATGACAAAATATGACAAAATATGACAAAATATGACAAAATATGACAAAATATGACAAAATATTACAAAATAAAACAAAATAGGACAAAATATGACAAAATATGACAAAATATGACAAAATATGACAAAATAGGACAAAATATGACAAAATAGGACAACATATGACAAAATAGGACAAAATAGGACAAAATAGGACAAAATAGGACAAAATAGGACAAAATAGGACAAAATAGGACAAAATAGGACAAAATAGGACAAAATAGGACAAAAGAGGACAAAAGAGGACAAAAGAGGACAAAAGAGGACAAAAGATGACAAAAGAGGACAAAAGAGGAGGAAAAAGGCAAAAAAGGATAAAAGAAGACAAAAGAGAAAATAAGAGGAGAGGCGTTGGATCGAGCACTTCACGTTGAGTTATAGACTGAATCTATGGACTGTACAGTCCAAATATGACGAAAATTGTAGCGTCTAGAACCTCCTTAAGATCGGAAGTAAGGACGACCTTCACTCATCTGTTTAATGGATGAAAGTTTTTTTTATTAAATAAAATGTTATTAAATATACCGCAAATGGGTTGCCTAAGAAAATACTTTCAATACTATTTTTTTCTTAAAGTAAAATAAGCGACACACTATAAAGTATTCCCCAGATGCTTCGACTATGACCAAAATTTAATCAGCTTACTGCTGCCACGGAGGAGTATTTGGTTAATAAAACCGGACAAAAGTCGGAATCAGCAAGTTACTCGAAAGTCTCATTGAATCTATTGTTTCTCTAGCCAGCTAACCGCACCGTCAAATGGCAGCTATCAACAATCCCCTAGCGCTCTACCTGTTCTCGGAGGTAGAATTGCACGTCTTTATTCTTGGCGCTTTGAGTCGCAGTTTGCTTTGCTGTTGTGTTTTCGTGTGCCTGAGTTTAGGAAAAACCCTTTCGAGTATGGCAGAAGAAGGTATGTACTGTATTTTAAAATGTTAATTGATTGATTTGCTGTTTATATTTTACGTTTACAAATGATATGACAACAGTCATAATTTGGGTATTTATTTTTGCTTGACAGTTTGCAGTGTTTAAGGTCACTTAGTACTATTTTTGATTCAAATAAAAATGGCGGATCCAAAATAGCGGACTTTCCCCTGTATAAACCGATATGTATCAAATTTGGAATTTGGGGATGTTTAAGGTTGCTGTTTATGATTTTTAATTCAAACTTAACAAATCAACACAGCGTATACAAAATAGTGGGCCACCCTATTTATGAACTGATTTTTCCCAAACTTTAAAAAATAATAATGATACGAGCCAAAAATCAAACTAAAACTAGAAAATAAAAATGATGGTAAAAAAAAACTTATAAGTTAAATGGTTTTATTTTAAATCATCAGTTGTACCAAAAACTTGTAAAATGATCTTGTTATTTTATCTATTTTTATAGTGTTTTAAGCTCTATGATTTTGGGGAGTGGGTCAGGTTATTAAACAACTCGTATTACTTTGAAAAAGAATATTGAGCCCCACTATATTTAAAACTTTTTAAACTTGACAATCGACTAGTGATGAAAATATAGAAAATAACTAACCATTAAGATATTATAATTAAATAAGGTAGCGACAAATTCTAATTCACAGAGACTTATTCAAATTTAAATGATTTATCTGTGGTATAACAGGTAGCAGGTACAGGGGATTCGTATGATAGGCTTGGATATCACCAACTGATAAATCTTCATAGGTAAAGTTAAATCTCGTAAACTTCTTTGGATGGCTCGAACTAAACTTCTTGAAATACTTGAAATAACCTCTGTAGCTGGACCAAACTTCTAAGTTTCAATATTTCTACACCCTAGAAAATAATTAGGACACAAACCTTATATTATAGGGGGCCATTAAATAAGAACGACTTGTCTAAAAAACGTGTTTCCAAGTCCACCAAAAGAAATATTTCGATTTTTTACTTTAAATTTCAATACTTCAAAATTAATAAGTAAAAAAATTGAACTATTTCAAGTAAATATTTTTTTATTTTTATTCCACAGATTTATCGGAAACTGTCAAGCAATTTACCAGAAGAGTATTGTTTAACATCCTGAATAAATTTAAAGGAAAGAAAATGGATAAAAAGTTTCCATTATTCGAAGAGAGAAAAAAAGTAATTTTATCCGAGCTTTGAGGTGTTTTGAGGGCGATTTCAAGAAGAAGTGGAGAGATACTAGTTACAAGTAAGAACATTTTTTTTAAAACCAATGAGCACTGGCTAACATCTTCGAATGAACTGCCTTATTGGCCTGAAAAATTTACACAAAAACCAGGACGACCATCTAGACCATTCGAAGAACTGTGCGACCGCAGTAAACGATGAAAAACTAAGGAAATGCGGAGCAAGTACCTGTAGAGGAGTTGACATATGCGGCTGGCGTGAGTCAGCGTGCTTCAGGACATAGTGATGCGTCAAAAATAATAAAGGAAATTATTGCTTCACCAATCAGAGTTAAGGAAATTCGTTTTTACTACTGCCAGTATGCTAACAACTGTAAAGAAACATACACCTGCAGAAGCACTGGTCATCTTTGTTGAAGGTGACTTTACCAGAAAATGGTGGGAAATATTACATAGATCCTTGCTAATCACTCATACAAAAGGCCAAAAAGGAATGTTATCCTAATGAAGCATATATGTGTGTTACTGAAACATGCTCTGAGGTTCGTCTACAACATTATTTGACCACACTACGTTGCGCCTGCATAAATATGTAGCAGAGGTTGTAGAAACATGTATAGAGGAAGAGAAGCAAAACATAGTTTTAATATCTAAATGGGGATGGGTCGCAACAAACCCAGTATAAGCAAAAATTTCAAAAAATCATTGATAGTGACGCAAATATTTTTCAGAGCACACTTGTTCCCTTAAGACTGCTTGTTAATGGAGAACAGAAGAAAATTATTTAGCAAAACCCAGTCCCATCCTCAGGTAGATTCTGCAGATCCATACGCATGCGCTTCATAAATTAATCAAAAGATGTAACGAAAGAAGAAATTCGGCACATCGAAAATCAAGCCGCTTAGCTTCTGGAAACCGAAGTGGACCGAGCAGGCAAAATAAAACATAGGATCATGTTTACAATGATATATGGTGAGGTCTGCAATGCTGTGACTGATACTGCATCCACCATGAGATGCTATATTTGCGGACAGACATCAAAAGATTTCAATAAATAAATTAAAAAAGATGTCTATGTAGAAACGCTAAAGTTTGGACTCTCGATTCTGCATTTGTCCTACAAAATACCACTGAAAAAATAGCAAGAGCATTCTGCAGAAGAAAAAAAAGTTGTCAAAGAAACAAAAGAAAAAATTCAAGAAGCCTTCAAAGAAGAAATAAGACTCCTGGTTGTTGTTCCCAAAGCAGGATTTGGGAACATGAATGACGGGAATACAAAGAGGTTTTTTCCTGGCCCGGAATGCTCATCTCGAATAACTGGAGTCAGTATGAATTTAATACAATGATTTAAAGTCATCTTAGAAGTTATTTCGAGTGACAACAGCATCAAAGTTTGAAGTTTATACACATGAAACTGCAAAACTGTATACAGATCTTTTTGATTGGCACCCTATGTCACTAACCAACCACAAAATTTTGATGCATGGAGCGGAAGTCATATTACATGCGATCCTACCTATTGGCCAGTTATCAGAGGAGGCAGCTGAGACCCGCAACAAGCACCTTCGATAATATAAACTGAATTTTGCACGATAATTTTCCCGAGTGGATTGTAATAGAGACGTATTGCATAGACTGTTACTAAGTTCGGACACATATTTGAGCAATAATAGACCAAGGCAGCACAAAAATACTATGCCATTTTCGCAAGAGGCAATCAATCTGATGATTGCAAGCACGCCGCCTGTACCTTATGAAAAAGATTGTAACGAAAGTACAGACGATGAAGAAGATAAAGATGAAGAAGATAAAGACGAAGAAGATAAAGACGAAGAAGATGAAGACAAAGAGTCCTATTATGTAAAAAAAATCTGAAACATCTGTGCTCTATGAAAATTTTAAATACATACTTAATTATGATCAGACATTGTGTTTTAATTAAATTCATAGCAAAAATATGCATTAGATATTTTTGTCCGGTTTCATTAACGAAATACTCCTATGTGCGCTGGATAAATTAAAGATTAATTTTAAAATTTGGTATATATATCTTAATCCGTTTTAGGGAATTCATGCATAGGACCAAAATGATAAAGAATGATATAACAAGTAACTTTTTTTATGATTTCTATATTTTGCTTATCTGTATACAGAGAGGAAAGTAAAAATATCCGTGAGAGTATTTTATTAGGCATCCCATTTGCGATATATTTATAAACATAATTTATTTAATAAAAACAAAACTTCCATCCATTAAACAGATGAGTGAAAGTCGACCTTACGATTTAAGGATTTACAGTTAACCTAACCTTTTTAAAAATAATAAATTGGTACTTACAGCAATCCACATTAGTATGTTCATCGCATTCTTTTATTTTCTCATTCCAGAGAGAGCGATTTGGACATTGCAGTAGATATACTCTTTTTTCGTAACACTCCCAGAATTTAGAACAATCATATGGGTATAAATAGTAAGTGTTTTTACCATCGCTACAGTCTGGGTCTAAAAATGATTAAAACATTTAAGAAATATGTTTATTTATAATACAGTCAAAAAAATAAATTGAAATAATGATTTTTACTAATTTAATAAGTATATTCATATAATAAAGAGGCATTTATTAATGTTATGTTAATAGGAAAGATGAAATACAAATAAATAGGTACATTCAAAAACAAAAAAATATATAAAACATAAATTTCACATAATGCATAAAATACATATTATGTGTTAGTTTAGTTATTTTATAAAACCACTTATTTTGGTAATATTGAAAAACATAAATTTAAACTTACCTGGGAATGGAATTATGTGAGCTGAAAAAAAAAATAAATTTAACCAAGAACTAAAATGAAGCAATAAAAATCATTTATTTAGGATAGCACCTAAAATTACAAAACTACTGGAGGTTTTTTCTCATGTATAAAATATTAAATATTATTCAAATTTTATCCAATGTTTAATTATTTTTTTACTGGGTCTACCTGTGTTGGTTTTGATCTTGGGTCTTGGTCTTGGGTCTTTTGAAAGACCAAGACTGTAAGACCAAGACTATTAGACCAAGACTATTAGACCAAGACTATTAGACCAAGATTATTAGACCAAATCTATTACACCAATACTGTCAGACCAAGACTGTAAGACCAATACTATAAGACCAAGACTATAAGATCAAGACTGGAAGAACAAGAACGAAGACTAGTCTCGCACTTATACTAGTCTAGCCAAAATATGATATCTTCGTTAGCTTGATGAACGGATAAGATTGGATTAAATGTTTTCTTTATTTTTCTTGGCTTAATATTACAGACCTCGATCCAGCCATGTCTTTACACTGACACAGGACGAGCATTTAGGTTTTCTCTTCTTTTTCGCCTTTAACAGCTCACATTGTGAAGCAGACGGATTCACTTGGACATTTACCATAAATGGATAATCCAGAGACGTCACTCGGCGACGTTAATAATCTGCAGGGCATGAACTTGCAGGACTTTGACCTGAAATGGCTATCTCTAGATACCTCCTAGCGACAACTAGTAGGTTTATAATGAGTTAATAACCAGCAGGACTTTGGATAAGCTAAGAAGATAACTGTCAATAGACACTCTTTAGCGTCAACACACAATTGTTTGACGAATTGATAACCTTCAGGTCTTTGATGAGCTGGGAATATGACTGATAACTCTCAGCGACAACTAGGAGGTTTTGACAAGTTCAGAGGCAGGTTCTATATACTTCTAAAGGACGCACAATGGACCTTATGGGCAACTCATTCTTCCTACCTTACATATAAAAAGATGCTTTTGAAGGAATCAGTTTCCGGAAGAAGAAACTTTCCTAACAATTGAGTTTTTCTAGAAAGTATTTTGTAAATTTGGCCGACACGGGTCGTTGACAAACTATTTGGTCTTTCTCGATCCTATATATTTACTTCACCATTCTATTAAGTTCTTTTTCCATCATTTCTTTGATTAAAGCCTTGCAAAATACCTTATTCCTTAAGTGGGTCCACTTATTGAGTTTATCATCCACCTAGTGGGTCAATTAAATAAATATAATTTATTTAAGCTTTAGACATGTTTTCCAGTATCTAGGAATAATTTTTTGCCGATTTTGTGAACTTTTTTTAACAGCAATGGCGAGCGTGTTATATGTAATTTATTCTGTGTTTACAAGCGATTTATTTTAGATTTAAAAAATAGTATGAATTTCTATACAAAATAGGTATTTCACAACAAAATTATACTAGATTTAATCACTAACGTTACGTATAATTCTGTTCTCACATACCTATTATAGTTCTTACAAACTATATTGTAAATGTACAATAATAGTTATTTTATCTCAAATAATGTAAATCACAGAAAAGTTTTCTAAAATATGCATAAGATGTTAATAAAAAAAGCAACTATCATTTTATAATTGGCGACACAAAGAATACTCTTCGCTTCTTACTCACTGCACCTTGCAGAAATTTCGTGCGCTAGCCACTGTACAGAAATCTCTAAATCTATTCATTGATCTAGCTTCATCAAATAAGGATCGATTTTAAAAACGTTTTCATCATTAGATGGCCATAATTGTAATCCTTCAGACAATATAAAACATAATACAAGCTGTGCTCTAAACGTCGAGTTAGGACGCATTCAAAATATGGTCGCTTGTCCACCACAGTGTGGATTAGCAGCTGAGAGTATACTTTCACCTTCTTCCCCACCTCTTAAGAGGTTTACAACTCTACAAAATGGTTCGTGGTCTGTTATGCCGTTAGCTGGGCTAGTTTATTAGCCTTTCCTTCCTTTAATCCTTTATAGCCTAATAAATTTGAGGCTGAGGTCACTTTGTTTTACCTCCTCAGCTATATCAGGTCTTCTAGGCAGTCTTTCACTAATTGTTATTAGATTTCTGGTGAGAAAATATCCAGATGTGCTTGGCTATCAGAGTAGATGGCGATATTTCTTCATGATCTTGTGGGTTGAATATATTGTCTCTCTTGTACAGTGGTGTATGGCCTGGAATATATGAATATTTTTCTAGACTGCTTTCGGCTTGGTCCAAAGATTCTAAACTGGCTGCTTCATTGGTTTTTGTACCGTCTGTGTAACAGGCTAGTTTGATCTAACAAATTTAGTTATAGAGCACGACGAATTACATTTTAAAGTTATTTGTTTCAATTCTTTGTAAAATATGGCACCAAAGTATGCACAGTACTAAAAAATACACCGGAGGTCGCTATCAAGTGAGGTATTGTAAATAAAGACAAATATTGACAGCGAACTGTCACAAAAATTCTGTTAATTTTAGCTTTATCGAGTGAAAAATTCGTCTGTATACAATTTTTTAAAAAATAATGGTAATTTATTAATAATTAATCATACTCTATGAAACAAACGAAATAAAAGTAAAAACAATGAAAAGAAACATACTGTCACATATTTATTTATAAGTGCTCATATTAATAACCCATATTTCATCAAAACAAAGTGAGGAGGTTACTATTTTTCAACATTTTTATAGTGCACGAGAGAACAATAATTACGTAAGTAGTCCTACAAAATTGTAAATATTTTTAAAATTTTGAAAATTAAGTGACATTTCGATGGTATGTTTACCGAAGAGTAGGTATTAAATTATAACTGCGACATTTTAGATAATTATCAAAAAAATTCCAAAGATAAATGCTTCTTTTGTTATCTCAATCCCAAACAATATCACATTGAGTGATCTTCTAATTACAATAAAATTTTATTCTTTTAAAGTAGTATTCATATTGATGAACAGGGTAGGTACAAAAATATTTTTTAGGATTGTTTTCAATAAATTCATTAACTTTTACTATTTTACTTTAATCATTTAAAAAATAAATCAAAGATTGTACACAATGATAAAAAAAGAAAAAAGAAGGCAAGGTAGGATTTTCAAAAAGGGAAATTTTATAAGTGTTCGTCAAGAACTTCCGGTTGTTAAGATATCATCGGTACATTATACATGTGAAAAAAATTATTAACAATAATTCCATTATTTATGTTTATATTTGTAATATGACAATATCCCTATGATATCTTAACAGCCGAACCAAAAGCATTAACTACAAACATACACACTTAAACAATTAAAGAAAATACCTTCATTCCTTTCTTTTCTGTACTAACAAAATATTATAGAGCCTATAACAGAACAATTAATTGCGTGTTTATTATTTCTACATCATGTATGATCCACTTCAACTTTTGACATATATAATTAACATTTGACATCAGTACCTACATCATTCATCATTCATCTCTAAGATTAAACAATAACTAAACAACAATAACTAGATGATAATAATAACTAGACCTCAACAAAGATGCAAAAACGCATTACCAAATTAACAAAAATTAACAAGTAAAATAATAATTTATTATTTGTATATTTTTATAAACCACCCTCGGCCAGGTACACTCTTCGACAATTAATCAGATAGATGAAACCATTGATATAACATATTTATTATATAATAATCTTTCAAACGATTGATCAATCAGCTAAACAACCAAACCTAGATATAGAACAAAAAGCATTCTATACTTTATCTATCTCTTTAATGGTTTAAAGGGTAGGATAATGTGTCCAACAATAACCAAACTTTAGTTAGTAATACATATTTTAAAAAAACGCTCGCACCACTGTGCGAACCTTCCGACTAACTCGAACAAAATCTTAGTTGTTATCTTGCCAACACGAAGCGTGCACGTAATATAACACATTATAAGAATTTGGGTGTGTCGAGTAAAATTTTGAAGGTAGGCTTTTTCGCTTTTTTCTTACTTGCATACAGTATTTTAATTGATTTTCTGTAGTTTAGTGCATAAATACATTAATTAATGCTTGGATATGTAACTTTTGAATAGACTGTTGCAGATACTTACTGTAATATTGGTATTCGATTATGACATGGTAGGGTACGTTCACAATGAATGAAACTATCCTTCAGAATGGGTAGCAATAAGAAAATAGAAAGAAAGCAAGGCGCCTGTACTGCTGATCAAATGAAGGTACCATTGGATCTACTTGCTAGAGATATAAGTATCCGAAAAGCAACAGCAGGGAATAATTTACCGTATCCTACGTTAAGGCGATACGATGAGAAAAGAAAATCTGCTCCTGATGAAAATATGAGATTACCCCCTAACTATAAGATTAACATGATTTTCAAAAGTGAGCAAGAAGATGCTCTAAAGACACAATTCAAAACTTGTGCCCTTATGTTTTATAGATTGACGTCTACTGAATGTGGGAGGGTTGCATATCAAATGGCTCAAAGGTATAATATTAAAATACCTGGATGAAAACACAAACGGCTGGCAGAGAATGGTTCCAGGGTTTTAGTTACAGACACACACATCTGTCACTGAGAAAACCAGACTCATGCCGTCTTGCACGTGCAACATCGTTTAACAGAAATAACGTTTACAGTTTTTTTGACAACTTATATGCCGCTATAAATTGGAATCCGGCATTTTCTGATGGCATAAGAATGTTTAACTTGGATGAAACCGCAACCACATCAGTGCAAAAAATTCAAAAAATATTGGCAACGAAAAGGAAAAAATGTTTGGGTAAAGTCACCAGTGGCGACAAATGGACGGTAATAACAACATGCTGTTTTATATGTACTAGATTTCATGGTAAAATGCGTTCCCGCTGAGTCTCTAGGCCTTGCTACTCCAACAGGATGGATGAGTTCCGAACTATTTGTTAACGTAATGAGTCATTTCATTAAACATAGCAGAAGCTCTTTTGATAATCCATCAATTGTATTATTCGATAACCATGAGTCCCATTTATCCATCAAAGCCTTAGATTTTCCAAAATCGGCAGAGGTTAATATTGTCACTTTGTATCCACACATCGGCTAAGTTGCAGCCACTTAACGTCAGTATATATGAGCCATTTAGGCCTATTATAACAGTCGTGTCTCTTAAGAAATCCAGGTATAGCACATAGCTGTTCCATGACTCGTACAAATATGGCAAACGTTTTTAAAAAATGCTGCATATATCCCTTTGACGTTGGTGTATATGCGCCATTTAAGGCCTATTATAACAGTGCCATATAGACGAGGCTTTTAGAAAATCCAGGTAGGCCAATAACTATTTACGACCTAGCTAAAGGCATTGGAATAGCACATATCTGTGCCATGACGCTTACAAATATAGTACATGCTTTTAAAAAATGCGGCATATATCTCTTTGACCAGGATATATTTACAGACAACGATTTTTTGCCAAGTGAGGTAACCTTTAGACCATGCTCAAAAGAAGAAAATTCTAATTTCACAAGAGACCTTTAATAAGGTGATAATAACGAAGAAATCACAATTCAAAATGAAAAGGATAGTTCTGCAGTCAATGAAAGTCAACCAGAACACACTGAACATACAGAAAGTCGAGCAGGACCAGTATTTATACCACCACAACAATTTATGCTTCCACTGAAAGCCCAACCACGTTAAAATAATAGAAAGGACAGAAAAAGTAAAAAAAGTATTATTGCCACTGATACACCCAAGAAAAACCTTATTGGATAAGAAAGACTGAAATCTAAAAGAAATAAAACATTAAATGAAAATAAATATTCAATAAAATAAAGAAGATTTAGACGATGATGAAATTGATATTTTTCTTGAGAGTGAAAGTGATAGTGGAGAGACTGAACAAGATCTTCCTATTTTAAATCCAAATTTGTTTAGTACCCAAAGTTCTAACCCTAATGTAGAAGATTATGTCCTCGTAGAATTTAATCCTTATCAAAATCAACGGTTTATTTTGTGGGAAAAATAATAAAGGTAGAACATGATGGGGAATACTGCAAAACATTTTAAAGGCTTAAATCTAAAGACAGTGAGCAGTGTGTTATGCCCCTGATACAGATTCTGTCAACAAGAAAGATGGGAAGTATATTTTGCCGAAACCAAAACTATATTGAAGCACAAAAACAACAAGGATATTTTGCATTTACAGTGTCCTTTTCTTTGTTAAATATGAGATTAGAAGTATATCTTAAATAATAATTATTGTTCGTCATGCCTCTTCTTTATATGGTTTTTGCTTTTAAACTAAAAATTTGAAATTATACTGTAATTTCTTTAAACCAAGTAAAAGGATATACGTGTATTAAATAAATTTTCTCGGTTCATTGTGTACACAAAACTAGTTCATTGTATACCACCTGTGGGACACAATAAACCAAATACACTTTTTTAAAAAAAAATGTATAACTAAAAAACTTTTCTCTTCGTATTTCTGACTATTGGTCTTCATCAGTACGGTGCAGCCAAGTTCAAAAGGGAATGGAACTAGCGATGAAATCAAATTAACAGGAGATCACTAAAGAAGCCAACCACACATTTGTGGACTTTGCTAAGATTCCCAGTGCTTACTAAGAAAATATTAGCGTCGCCACGGAGGCAGTTATAGCACTGGGAATGTTAGCAAAGTCCACAAATGTGTGGTTGGCTTCTTGAGTGATCTCCTGTTAATTTGATTTCATCGCTAGTTCCATTCCCTTTTGAACTTGGCTGCACGGTACTGATGAAGACCAATAGTCAGAAACACGTGTCTACGGTTTACCTTTAGGCATTTTTTTTTATTTTTTGCGGTATTTGCCCAATAATCCTTGTATCTTTTATATTTTTTCACCACACTAAACCTCCTTCTATTGTATACTGTTTTTATGTAAACACCTATAATCGCTGTGATGCTCAGTGAACATTACTTTAATAACCTGTCAAATGATTAACCAATTATCTAATAGACAGATCTTGAAGTTGGATAAATAAATGTCGATGGTAGAACACGAAACTTTAATGCTTTATCTAACTCTTATAATGGTCAAAGGGCTCCTTACCTTTTAATGACCTCTGGTGGATTTTTTGGAACACGTTAGGAACGTTTTTATATGGGATTTAAGCTAAATTAAAACAACTATAAAAATGTCATTCATTGTGGTAAAGAGAGACCTTTGTAGTTACCCCTACGTCTATGACAAGTTCGACGTCCAAATTTGTAGTAAAATTAAGAAAAAAATACTGCAGATAATACTTACAGCAATCAGTATTTTCGTGTACGTCACAAGCTTTCACAATATCGTTCCAGTATAAATTATTTGGACAAGTATACACATTTAATGCTCTGCTTTGACAACCGAAGTATTTTTGGCAATCGTAGGGATAGTAGCGATAATTCGGTAAATCATCAGCACAGTCGAAAGCGTTAAGGCAGCTGATTGAATTGATAGCTAAAATAAAATATTATTAATAATAATGGAAAATTCGAAAATGATAGGATAGACAATTAGTTGTTTATAAAAACATACATAGATCAAATTACAATAGAATGCACACAAATAGTACAACAGTTATACAGGCTGTTTATTAAGTACTTATACAAACTTTAAATGGTAAATCTTTGACTTATTTTAAGGCAAAACGTTCATATAAACACATGTACTAAACCTCTTAACTTTTGAGCTACAGGGTGGTAAAGTTTTCAGAAAAAAATTTTTTTTCCAATAACTGTAACAATATTGCAGATATTTTTACGAAATTTGGTACACGTCTCTTACGCATTATGATGCATTTTTTAATATACAAATAATTTTATTATTTCTACCAGTGGCGACCGTACGGGTTTCGTATTAAATATTTTTGCCGAAAAAAATAGTACGCCACTGCTTCATCTTAAAATAACAAATAGTTTTGCAATCCTCATTTAGTTTTGAGCCAATTTGGTCTGATGAGTTTTTTTCTCCGACGCATAGTTTTCGTCCGACGCATAGTATTCTGCATGGAACAAGTGAAAAATGTGTCTTTTATTGATCAATATTGTTATGTGATAAACGTAGATTATTTACAGACTAAGACTATACTACTTTTACAAATAAGTTAATAACATTTACAATAATTGCTGAAAATGCCCGCTGCCTACTGCAACGCATGCGTCAATTCGCCTTACAACTGATTGACGTACTCTTTCGAATATACCTGGTGATTAATAATGGCACACGATTCAAATATCCTGTTTCTTAGATCTTGCTCATTTTGAACGGATGTTTTGTAAACTAGTGTCTTTAAGTAACTCCACAGAAAAAAATCCAGAGGATTTAAATCTGGTGATCTGGGAGGCCAGGCTTGCGGTCCCGCTCTTTCTATCCAACGATTAGGATAATTCTCGTTCAGAAATTGACGTGCAGCCAAACAAAAGTGTACCGGTGCGCCATCGTGCATGAACCACATCCTGTTTCTGGTAGCCAAATCAATTTCTTCTAAATGTTCAGGAAGCTCGTGCTCCCAAAATCTTCTGTACTCTTCGCCATTTAGCCTTTGTGAAAGAATGTAAGGTCCAATAAGGTGATCCCCGATAATTCCGACCCAAATATTTAGAGAAAAACGATCTTGGAAATTATTTTCTATGATAGCATTGGGATTATCCTCAGACCAGATATGGTTGTTGTGGAAGTTCATGATGGCGTTTCGAGAAAAAGAAGCTTCATCTGTAACAAGTACATGGCCTAAGAAATCCGGGGTTGTTAATAATTTATTTCGCAGCCAAACGCAGAAATCTACTCTGAGAGGAAAATCTCTAGGTAGTAATGCATGTACACGTTGAATATGATAAGGATAAAGTTGTTGAGATTTTAAAATTTGCCACACAATTGTATGCGTAATATTCAATTCATGAGCAATTTTCCTTGTACTAGTTTGCGGGTCCTCTTCAATTCAATTTAACACAGCTTCTTCAATTTTAACTGTTCGAACTGTCGCAGGCCTTCCTGGGATATCAATTGTTTTTTTAAAGCTGCCAATTTCACAAAGTCTTGCGTGAATATTGATGAAAGTTTGGACATGTGGAACCACCCGTTGAGGAAATCGGGCTTGATACATTCTTTTTGCAGCTTGTGCATTACCGTGAGCCATTCCGTAGACGAAATGAATGTCTGCCATTTCTGTGGTATATTCGTACATTTTGAACACAATAATAGACAATAAATTATTACATACATACATACATTTTTAAATGACAAAAACAATGATCTTTTTTTTTAAATAAACTGTCATGACTGATTCTGCTACCATGGAAACCTCTCGGTTGTTTGCAAGGCTTGCTATGCATGTACTCGTATGTACAATTGTACATTTTAGCAATTTGACTCTAAAATAAAATGGATTTTATTTTTTAAAGCGTAAACTATGCATCCAACGAAAAAAACTCAAGAAATTAAATTTGTTTAAAAATAAATAAGAATTTTAAAAATAATTGTTGTTTTAAGATGAAGCAGTGGAATACTATTTTTTTCTGCAAAAATATTCAATACAAACCCCGTAGGTAAGGACGCCACTGGTAGAAAACATAAATTTGTAAATCAAAAAATGCATCTTAGTGCATAGTATAAGTGTACCAAATTTCGTAAAGATATCTACAATAGTCTCACAGTTATTGGAAACAATAGATTTTTTTCTGAAAACTTTATCACCCTGTAGCACAAAAGTTAAGAGGTTTAGGACACGTGTTCCTATGAACTTTTTGCCTTAAAATTAGTCAAAGATTCACTATTTAAAGTTTGTACAAGTACTTAATAAACACCCTGTATATTGCTAGATTTTCGGTTAATTCGGTAGTTATTACTGATAAGTTCGCAATGGTTTAATCTTCATAATTTTCAATTAAATTCTGATATATTATTTTTCTACATTGAATTGCAGTTTAAATCAGATGTTTTTATATTTGGTTAAATGCGATACACCTTACAAAGTTTTAAGACATAAATATTTAGCAAAGCTGTTTCTATATGGTTTTTTAAACATGGACTCCTATTATGCTGATTTTTATTTAAAACATTTAAAATAAGTTAACCATATGGAAAACTTTTTTATTATTGGTTTTGTAAAAAAAATTATTGCTGATAAAAAGTTCTGCATGGTCCAAAACTTAAATCGCAACCATCAGATATCAATTTGTTTAAGCCGTATAGAAGGTTTGACAAAAAATATTATTTTTGCTGAAGAGTAAAGTATACGGCTGATAAAATTTGATATTCGGTGGTTGTATTTTGGTCTTATAAGGGAGAGTGGGGGAATTGTATGCACTTAAGCGAAAATCGTTATAGCACTGTAGCAATGTAGATAATTTAAATGTAAATACGGTAATGGGAGTGCTATTTAGTCTACTCTCAGCACGTCAAATAATTTTAGGACAAAATTAAATATTTAAAGTACAATACTGCTGAAAGAACAAAAGTGCTCTTGCGCCATTTTCCGTTGGGTAATCGTGCGCATTAAAAGTATTAGGTATAAGATAAAACCAACACTAACTTTAAAAAATGTTATTGAAGTTGTGGAACATAAAAAAACATTATATTAACTCCTAATTTAAGCATACGTCACATTTATAACTTTTCGGGGTATCTGAGCCAGTACATTCGGCATGGTTCCAAGTTGAGCAAAGGACACATCTGTACCATAATTCTCGTTGTTTGTCAAATTTACCGCAAATACCACAAACTTCGGTTAGTTTCCCTGGCTGATTGAAAGGTGTCGGTACGAAGCTCAACCCAACATAATCCTCAATATCATAGAGCCCATCGTCGTCACAAATATCCGACACATCATCTTCTGATGAATCAGATGATTCAGGCGTTGGCGGTCTTTTTTATTTGCTTTTGAATTTCTTTGAAGACGACAGAATTGATAATTCACCGTCCAAACATTTACGAATAAATCCTTTACTATTCTTATCTTTCAGTTTTTCTTTGGTTTTGATTGCTTCTTCTCTTTGTCTTTTTTTCGCTTCAGTTTCTTCTAGTTTTTTTTTGATGGGAGTGCTCGTAAGAATTTCCGATTTCTGTTTAATCCTAGATTTTTATTTCGTTGTCTGGTTAACTTTTGTTTTTGGTATTGGAGCCATAACAAAAAAAGAATTATCATAAGATGTAGACGGCTGAGGGCTCGGATCTCTCTGAGATAGAGTTGCTGCACCATCTTGACTCGATGAAGTTTTAAGTTCAGGTGTTGCTTCTACTGTAAGTTTGCTTACATGGTGGCTAGTTTCAAAATCAGCATCGGTAAATTTGTCGGGATCCAATGGAGATATTCCAGACGTCCGAAACCCTGAAACTGCTTTTTCCATTATAGCCATCACTTTCATGAAGGCTTTGTTTAAAAGTTCGGCTACGTCGTATTCAGTTATTTTTTGATGGCCGGTACCTGACAAGTAAAGGAGATATTCCTCAAAAAGTGCATTTTTAGAGGGCTAAAAAATGTAAGATCCAGAGGCTGAAGGTGATCAGATGTGTGTGGAGGAAGCGAGATCATGTGGATATTATTTTCTTTGCAAAAATTATAAGCTGCAATTGAAATGGGGCTGGAATGGTTATCCAGGACCAGAAGGACAAGATCAGTAACAGTAGGCTTAGAATGCCTCTTAAAGTGACCCAACCACTTAAGAAAAAGCCAGGAATTCATCAAACCGTTCTTAGAACATTTCTACAACGCCTCACTTGGTCCATTTTTCTCGAGAGTTTTGTGCATGCTTTTCCTAGGATATATTATCGTGGAAAGGATGTGGTTCTCAGCCGCATTCATACAAAATACAGCTGTTATTATTCTTCCTCTTTCGCCAGAAATTGCAGCTCCTACTTTTTCAGGTCCCTTACGAACCTATACCATAGGATATTTGTTTAACACCGTAGTGATGCCTGTCTTATCCATGTTGTAAACACTCTTGGGTTCAAACTTAAACCTTTCTATAATAGTTTGAAGGTTTGAAAAAAATTATTTGGTTGAGTTCTTATTAAAAGATGCAATCTTATTCAAACTGGTTCCTTCAGGCTGCCGTAGCTTTATATCAGGTGATCTCCATAAAAATCCATACAGCCAGTCCTTCCCAGCTAATCCCTTTTTCTTGTCGAATTTATGGGCAATGTCATGTTGCTTAGCATATCTTAAAGCTAGTCGCCTAAGTCACCTGGGTGTTAGGCCATAAAATAGCTTTGCTAGTGTTAAAACGTACCCTCTTAACTCAGATTCTATTTCCTCTGAAAACACAGTCTCGCAACCCAAACGAGTAGGCTTCGGCTCATTTTCTGACAGTTTTTTTCTGGGTGTCGATTCAGGAATATTAAAGGCCCTTCCTGCATCCCTTATTTTTCTGCCATCATTTCTTATCTCAAATAATACGTTTTGTAAATCTTCTTCCTAAATGAAAGAATTGTGATTTTTCTTGTATAATTTCTCGGTATCTGGAAAATATATTTAAAATTAGATTACGTGTGGGGTAATGATGCGTGTTGACAATCTGTAATACAGTTAGCAAACTACATCACCTAAAAATGTAAAACAAACATCAATAGATGCAAAAGATCATACTTAGCCATAAAATAAATATATTTTATCGATTTAGGAACTCACCGTCTTATTTTCCGATGTCAAAAAATTACAGAAACTGGCTGGATTTCAAATAAACAGTACTCGTTCCGTGCAAACGCAAACAACTAATGTGAGTAATGGCGTCCACTGATGCACAGTAGAAAGGAGAGAGTGCAGCACTAGTCGGTGGCGCTTAAAAGCCCGCGAAATATGAAAAGGTTTGATGCGCACGATTACCTGACGCACACGATTCCCTCACTCTCCCTTATTATGAATATTAGGACAAAAAGTTATTCTTCATAAAAAACCGATCATGGTCTAAAACATAAAATACAACTATCAAATTGTATCAGTCGTAACGAGGTTTGTACCTTACTCTTTAGCAAAAATCATATCTTTTGACAAGATTCGTATACGGCTTAAAAAAATTTATATCTGATGGTTGGCATTTTAAGTTCTGAAACATATCACGAACAATTTTTTTCACAAAATGTTTTCCATATGGTTCAAACTCATTGCATACATATTTATTTACGATATCACATTCATTGGAGCATCCATGTATCTAGACTGTCCGTATACGGACTATCTAAAATATACATATATGTACATAAAAACAGCAATTTAAAAACTATTTGACAGTTGATAAGCATGGCCACTATCTAGTGTTATCAATACTTGATTCTAAATCTAGTGCATAAAATAAGATCTATGAGAAATGTATTAATTGTATTTTAAACATTTAATATTTAAAGTCTAACTGAAAATTATAAAAAATCAAATTAAAAATGATCAAATAAAGTGATAATGACCACAACAGATATGTTAGCTCAGTCGGTTTTAATTTAAATAATAAAAATTTACTTACTTGCGCTGATGACAACTAACAAACCTAAAATGCTCACTCTGTCACCTTAAAATAAAAAGAAAGAAAATAACATCAAAACTTATAAATTTTAAAGACTCAAAACTTACAGTACATCTTTTTTTTATTTTCCTGCTTCTATAATTTACTAGATACTTAAATGAATGTATCACTCACAGGTAATAACATCATATATATCTAAAATGTATATCTTATCAAAGTTATTTTATTTAATAATCAATATCCGATCAATAATATCTAGAGTTGAGTTATAATCAGTAATCAAATTTATCATATCTTTTTTTGTAGTTTCCTGTGCACTTGAAATGTCTACTATTTCTCAGAAAATAGATTTTTATCATTTGAAAAACAAGTGTGATAAGAATATAAAACAATTTTTCTTTATATTTAAATACCTACTCGTACATTTAATCTATAATTTATTCATTTAGGGGATTAGGTATTTAAAGCAGACATAAAATCTATTTCACATCCTCTCAACTTGTGAACTTTCAAATCAAATACTATAAAGGTTTAAGCTTTAATTGTAGATGAAAAAAGCACAAAAATACCCCCCAAAAAACATGCTCCTAAAGGAAGAAACAATATGCAACAAGTAGAAACCCAATTAACACAGAAAAATTCTCCGAGGCAGAATAATAGTCTATGAGCTGACTACGGAGGTATAGGGGGTGCTCAATGCAGTGGAAAACAAGTTCGATTGTTAGCGACATAGCGAGAAGCGGGCTGCCAGAAGGCAGCCTGGAAAAATAACATAATGATTGGGGAAATTATAATAAAAAAAAATTCAATGTAAGCTAATTCATAAGGTGCAGTGCTGAAAATTTGCAGAATAATCGGAGATAGAAAAAATAAGTAGGAACAAATTGCCAGAAGACTAGCCGGAAGATAAAGAGCTGCCAGAAGACGCCAATGTTGCGAAACATTTTGTGTACACTATTTTCCAAAAATGTAATACTTCCCGTACTTTCTAGGTACTTCTCGTACTTACTACGTACTTCCTAGGTACTTCCCGTGCTTGGAAAACTTTTATTCTACAATACACTGTCTGACAAGTAAGCCCAATTTATGAAACTCTAAGAGTTTATATGAGCCATGTCTCATTGAAATTGGCACATTTCTTTAAAAGTTAAAGTTACAAAATTTACATCAAATAGATAATAAAATTTTAAATCGAATTTTATTGATTTATTTCTATTGATTTTTTTAATTTATACAAAAAAGAATAATGTTTTTAGTGTAGAACATAATTTTTTGAAATAATTAGATCATTGTCCTTCGTTTCTTAAACATGTTTAACGTTTAATGTTTAAAATTTATTCCGACCTGAGGTGAACTGATTATATTTTAAGCAGAGTGGGAAAATCTGGGGGGTACTTTATAGGGGGTCATTTTTATATTTTATGGAATATATCTGTTATGTTTGGAGATGAAAATTCTTTAAATAAAAGTTTCTTCTAATATTATTCTCTATAATTTTTGTTCTATACAAAATTTTCCTAAAATAATTCGTATTCGAGAATTTTTTTAAAATGTAAAAAATTTCATATCGATCTCTATAATTTTTGTTTTTACCTGATTTCTCTAAAATGATCCGTAATGGAAAAATTGGAGGAAAAGTATAAAATTTAAGATTTTCAGCATTTTCATTAGCAATGAGTGTATATAGAAAAATGTTTTGAGTTAGATGTATGTGGTATCAGAATAATCGATGAATCGATTATTTTTGTAACTCCAATCGGTCGCTTGCTTTTATCCGAGCATTTAGCTCCGAAGTTTAGAGATTCGGATTTTTTTAATACCGTTATCTTTGAAATCGCATTCGATTGTATAATAAATATTGCTAAAATTTTGATATTTTTTAGTAAACGAAAATTTTGTTCGAGTTGTTTAGGGGTATATAATGTAACATTTTATTGACAATGTAACTAACTCTCGTAACTTTAATTTTTTTTTGGTTATACTAGATCATATGGTGCGTTTTATTTTGTTTTAAGACTGAAGATATAAATGTCACTTTCGATTTAACCTCAAATAAGATGAACCTTGAAAATTTAAGTAGGTCATCCACTATTTAATCTAATATTCTTATAAAAATACCTTATAAAAATAAAATTTAGCTAGCAACTATGCTTCTTTACTTCTTATTTATCTACCAAAAAGGGCTGAAATACTTCTTATTTAAATTAAATGTTCAAAATTTTACCCTTCTGTAAATTTATGTAATATAAAATCTGATTTCTGAAATATGTGTTTGATGCCTAATATTTATTGAAACCCCTTAATGCGGATCTGAAGTATTCAGCCCAGAGAATCATGGCGCTTTATGTCAAAACGTTAATAAATATTTACCGCTGAAAATGAATATATGTTTTATCTTTCATAACATTGGTACTTGTATTATAAGTATATACAATTTTTCAAGATACATTCAGGGATTTTGAAATTGAAATTGAATAAATAGAACACTTTAAATTGCTAAAACACAAACAAATTAATCAAAAAACCGCTGTCAATGGTGATTGAACTTAGGCCGAGGTGAATGGAAAAATCGGAGCAATTCAGGTGGCGTCGTTCAAACAATAATTTTTAATTGGTGGGTTACTTTGGGTTAAAATAGACAACATGCACAGTGTGCAATGTAACATCTTCGGTCTCTTTAATCTAAGGTGATAAACTATATGCCCACTTCCAAAAACACATATCAACCGAACAGCACGGATTTTGTCGTAAAAAATCTATAGATACAAATTCATTAACTTTCAGCACTAAAATCACAATATTCTCCTAGCTAAATTGAAATATTATGGTCTTAGAGATCACCTAATAAAAATTTTTTCGTCTTATCTAAAGCTGAGTTCTCAGTACGTAATGTTTGGTGGTGAAGTATCTCATAGAATCCTTGCAGTCTCTGGTGTCCCTCAGGGCTCCAATTTAGGCCGTCTAATTTTTTTTTAATATTTGTCAATGATCTCCATCTACGTATTACATCAAACTGATGTATGCAGATGATTTAAAAGTTTTTAAAAAAATCTCCACATTTAATGATTATCTAGACCTTCAAAATGACAAACTCAATTTCGGATTGATCATTAGAAAATAAATTACTTTTCAATCTTTCCAAATGCAAGGTAATAACATTCAGCGAAATTCGTAATCCTCAAAATTTTATCTACACAATGCAGAAAGATCAGCACTAGAGAGAGTATCAAAAATTACCGATTTGGGAATAGTTTTTCAAAATAACTTCAAATTTGATGAGCATATCCATAATATTACCAAAGAAGCTAACAAATTATTAGAATTTCTGCAACGTACGACTGGGGACTTTACAGACACATACCCAATTACAAATTAATTTTTTTCTCTCGTTCGTAAAAAATAAGAATATGCATCCACTGTATGGACCCTAAGAAACAAAATTTAAAACAAATTTTGGAAAGTATTCAAAATAAATTTATTAAATAATTATATTTCAAAAAGTATCGTACGAGTCCAGGTTTTGTCTCATTTGAACCTATTAGAAACGCGTTTAAAATTGAAAAATTGGAACATAGGCGCTCTATAATTAACCTCGTATGTTTTTTTTTTTTTTTTTTTGTAATGGGATGGCATCAGACATGCAAGTCTATTTACAACAGAAAGTTTTAACTTAATAATTTTTATATATATTATGTTAAATATCTATTTTAGTATTTTGAGTAAATTTAATAATAGCGTCAAAAATTATCTTATCTGATTGAACTAAAAGTGAAGAAATATTGAGTGGAAGTGGGAGTGAAAGTTTATAACCTCGTATTTACACATAATAAATATATATTTATTGAGTCAAATAAAAATCAATGTTCCAGTAGTAGGTATTCGCCTTCGTAAATTAACTTTTCGTGAGAATAATCATGGCCTATTAGAAAAAATTTGTCTATTATTTAACGTAAATTCCGAAGACATCTCTTGCGGTATTTTTGATGCAGTTATAAGCGGATACAGAAGGGAAAATTATTAAAGTAACATGATTTTGTAGGATATTCGTATGGCTTCCGTGTGGGGTTTTCTAGCGCTCTGATCATTTTAGCGTCTCTAGCTATTTTACCATTTTTCTTTTTCTTTAAACTTCGATAAAAACATTTTAGAAGCGATGTTTATTTAATATAAACAAAATTAAGTGTAATGATTATGTCATAGTTTATAGCTTAAAAGAATCAGTTCGCTCACTCGGACGAATTGGATGTTCCAAAATAACATCCACTCCAGGGATACAAATTCAGGATGCGCAGAAGACTGCTGTTTGAATATAGGCGGTTGTCATATATTGTATTAGACAATCCAAACAAATGAACTGTCAGTGGGAAGATTTGATATATCCAAGGGCTGCGACGTACAATGTTTTCTCTTTACAATACGTAAAATCATGAATAATGGATTACATTTAAATATTTTATGTCAAACACAATAAAAATAAGATAGATTTTTTCAGAAATTGGCAGGCTTTGTGACTATTATTTCGAATAAAAAAAACGTTCAAGATGCAAGACTATGTCTCTACCCCCTTAGATATACCAGACCTTCTCACTGACAGCTATTGTTTGACAGGTCGTTGGAATGCTTAATTGGTAATAGTAAGAGAGCCCACTGCAAATTACGACCGCCATCTGATAACAAAATTAAATATGCTCCAAAGACATGTAACAACATTGTACTTTACCAAATTGCTCCTGGGCCAATCTGTAATCCAGAGCAAAGTGGTTAAAAAAAATTATTTTATATTCAAAAAATTACATGACAGCGATAATTGTGTTTTCTCTGAAAATTACAATCCTAATTTATTGTGAACCTAGCTTTTAAATCTGAATTATTAATATTTTTACCTAACTTTGGCAGAGATAGTCAATAATAATTATAAACTCTTGTTAGACAATTCTTTTAAACTATAATCGTAGTAGTTTTTTTTGTCGTTTCTATGACAACCTGTAAAAATGAATCACAACAATAGGCATACAAATAAATTCCTAAATCAGCAAAAATTGATTTATATTTTTAATGATTTTTACCTACTAATCGTGTGTAGATGTTTTTGTGCGATGTTAAGAGGAAGAAAA